ACAGCACAAACAGGAAAAACATCTGGTCTTTTTCAGGTAATTCTGTTTGTTTCATTGTGAAGACAGTATTGTGTTTTATTGCTTAAATTCCAAAACTGTGGCCTGTGTTGACAAGGACACAACTATTTAAAAAGTGTTTCATTTTAATAGCTGTCCTGTAGAATATGGTGCCTAAAAAGAGATTTATCATTGCTTCATGTCAGGATTGTGTTCAACTTTATTAAGCAAAACATAAATTTTATATACATTTTTAAAGCAAGGCATTATAGATGATTATATGTTAATTATAAAAATGATGTACATATTTTAAATAAAAATAGGCAATAGTTTATACTTTTGAAAGGTCTTGGACCACTGTAGTTTGACAGTCTAAACCAGATTAAAAATGCAGCATAATCTTTTGCTTTTATGTCTGTATTTCTCACAACAGCACGTGTGCATGTGTGGAATACTATGGGAAGGCTTTGGAATCCTTAATTAAACAAGTGAAAATAATGAGCATTCATGGGAAAATGAAACACAAGCGTAACAAGATTTTTACTGAGTTTCGGAAGCTCCCCGGGTAAGAACATATGAATAGGCTAAACCAGCCAAAAGTAAAAATAGTAAGGGATATGTAATTTTGTCTGACAATATTCTTCTGCCATTTAAGTGTGGAAGAGTAGCGTTGTACTGAGGAGGAGGATGCTACTAGCTGTGTCTGAACACAAACCATGCTTAGGTACTGGAAGTATGATCACAAACAAAGTGAAAATGTGACTGGAGCATGTCCAGCCTAATTTAGATAATCCATGTGGCAGCATGGAAGGTGCAGAGACTTGCTGTTTAAGCGTATCATCGATAAGGAACTGGTAATGAAAATAACCTTTTCCTGATTGGTAACCAGAGTGGAAACCCAGGATACTATTTTTATTAGTATATGAACAAGAGTATGGCGACACAATGCTGTAATTTACCTGCAGGAAAGTATTCTTTGTCAGTTTTGCAGGATGTTGTTAAGGGACTCCTGCCTCATTAGCTGTCATTTTTTATTGCATGAGACCCGAGTTTTAGCATTTTATATTATATGAAAAATAATTACTGGCAGACTGGAAGAACAACTGTTTAAAATAATTGTTTAAAATTGTCGGCCTCTTAGGTCTTTTATTAAAAAGTTTATAGTATTACGTTCAACTGTGGTGGATGCAATTATTAAAAATAATTTAAAAATATTTAAAAATAGACCTTGTAATAGGGAATTGATTTTTCTTCATGATGTAATGTAAATCATATTCCTTTTCATAATGTTACATAGAATTTTAGTTGGTGAAAGCTGCAACTAAGTTATAATATTTTGTCTCTTTTCAAAAAACAAATGTTTTAAAACATTTTGTTCCTATTCTCCAGTGTAGATGCGGAATACACAGCTGGGGGGAGACTGGCTTTTCTCAAATAACAGTTTAATGAAAATACACTTTTTCTTTTTCCTAGTGGCATTTTAGTTTGCACTGATGTGATGGCCCGTGGCATAGACATTCCAGAAGTACACTGGGTTTTACAGTATGACCCACCTAGCAGTGCAAGGTACAACTACAGATCTTATGAACCTTTACTTGCAGTCATGTTACTGTACTGTTCAGATATAAATTGGGGACACACAACTGTGGAAAACACATTTAATTGCTGCCTGGAAGTTAGTCTGAGTGAACACACAAAATAATGCATGAACAAGGTTGAAACACTACAGTTTTTGTTGTAGCTGCTGTGAATTGAAATGACTTTATGTTGTATGTGGTAAGTCAAGTGGGTAGTCGCCAGTTAGATTTGTGTGAAGGGGTACTCTGCTGTAAGGCTTAGTATGAGAATATCAAAGAAATAATGAGAGGTGAGACGCTAGGGTGAATGAGAACAGACATGGGAGCGGGGACAGAGCTCTTCAAGGAATGGTACGTTCAAAGTTCACATTAAAGGTGCTTTTCCATGTATTTTAACTTCCACTGTCATAATTCTCCCTACAACTTGCTTGTCCCCAAAATGGACACCCCTTGCTTTAGCATATGGTCTTAACAATTGAGTGGGACTGCTACACAGCTCTTGTATTGCATTTTACTGATTCCTGTTGGTTTCGTTCAAAAGCATATAGTACTTTGATACTATAGATACTTTGATACTTCAGAATAGTATATATTTGTTGGATATAATTAGATTTGCCCTTTTGCTGTCTGTCTAATACTTCAAAATTAGGCTGAGCATCTCCTGTTAAGTTAGCTCTGTGTTGTGTCGTTTCAGTGCCTTTGTGCATCGGTGTGGTCGAACGGCACGGATTGGCAATGTAGGCAGTGCACTTGTATTTTTGCTTCCCATGGAAGAATCTTACGTTAACTTTCTCTCAATCAACCAAAAGGTTAGTAGACTTCTATTCTACCCCAAAGCAGGAAAGAGCAAGGGGACAGGCTTACTGATAGGCATTTTGAAATCAGAATTTGTAGAATGTTTTAGCAGAGGTGCACAATTAAATACAGACAAGAGCTGCTTATTAATCACCAAATGCAACTATCTGTTAGAACATGACTGCTCCCAGAGTTATCTACTGAGTTTGTAACAGGAATACGTGATGTGTTGAATAAGGAAAGGCTTTTCATTTCTAAGGGTATGTAGATTGAGCATTTCCAGAAGGGTGGTGCTGGCTTACGTTCCTACCCCCAATCCTGCCACCACCAGTTTATATGCTGCGCCCTCTGTACTGTTTAACTCTGGTAATTTTCTGTGCCTGGTCTTGCATTTGTAGAATTAACTGTATAAATTCTCTAGAGGCCTGCTAATGAGAACATAGCTTGATAAAGCATGAGATGAAGATGTTGCCTCTCTTGAGCTGCAGTATACAAGCTCTTTTGCTGTGCTAGGACGACCGTGTGTGGGGCTGAATAGTGAACCGTGTGTTGAAATGACCGAGAAAAAGGGGGAAAGGGACTCAAAGCTCACTCAAGATTAACTGGGGAAGAAATGTACATTTTAAGTTTTCACAGTGCGTTTTAAATCATTCAGCTGACCTTTTCCTTTGGTTTTCTATTTCTTTTCTGTTTTTCAGTGTCCCATGCAGGAAATGAAACCACAGACAAACGTGTTAGATCTTCTTCCAAAACTGAAGTCTATGGCCCTAGCTGACAGGGCAGTGTTTGAGAAAGGGATGAAAGCATTTGTGTCTTATGTCCAGGCTTATGCCAAACATGAATGTAATCTGATCTTCCGAATAAAAGGTAATTCCCAGCAGGGGCTGGTATCTTTTACTGTTGTTTTCAAAAGACAGTATTTGGTTTGGGGGGGAAAAAAAGCATAGTGTTACTGTTCACAAGCTTCCACTACTGATTCCTGATCTCAAATTTTTTTTTTCTGCAGCATCAAATTCTGACAAAGCTCTTATTTTTTTTCAAGCAACTTGTTTCTCATGGTTTTCAAGATAACATTCAATTAGTGAGTTTGACCAAACTGACATAAGCATGAGTAAGAATGACTTAGTATTGTTACTAGTATTAGGTACAGAATGCAAACGATATAATAAGATGTTTTTTTCTGTGACTTGCTTAGTGAAATTAAGTTTTTATCCATCAGGAAACTGACTTTAAAATCTTTGTTTTAACAGATCTGGATTTTGCTAGTCTTGCCAAAGGTTTTGCATTGTTAAAAATGCCAAAGATGCCTGAACTGAGAGGAAAATGTTTTCCAGACTTTACTCCAGTCACTGTTAATACAGACTCCATTTCATTTAAGGATAAAAATAGAGAAAAACAGAGACAAAAGCAATTAGAACAACAAAGAAAAGAAAGACAGGAAAATGGAGGGAAAAAGAAATTCATAAAGAACAAAGCCTGGTCAAAGCAGAAAGCCAAGAGGGAGAAGAAAAAGAAAATAACAGCTAAAAGGAAGCGTGAAGAGGTAAACTGTGCCCAGTCTATTAAATCTGCATTTGATTACTGTAGCATAGGTACATACTTTCAAATGGCAGAGAGCCATGGGATTTTAGTTTGACAGAATAGACAACTGTAAATTCACTCTTCAGGACCTCAACAGGCAAAGTTTAAAAAAATTATGGAGAAGCTTTTCAAAGCCAAACACTAAAGCAACTTCTCAGCAGTCTGATGCTAGTCAGTAATGCTGCCAGCATGAGTAACATAGATTTTTATTTCCCAGAGATCCAGCCCTATGGCATGATGGTGGACAGTCCTTGATTTTTTTTTTTATTTTTTTTTTTTTTTTTTTTGTGTTTCCTAGGTAGAAATTGAGTGTTATTTCCTGCTTGGATACTCCTGGCAAAGTCTGAATTATAAACTTCTCGTGTTCAACTGTATAGAATGAAAATCGTTTGGTGTTGTGTTTAATTTGCTGTTTCTTAACTGCCAACAGGGCTCTGATATTGAAGATGAGGATATGGAAGAGTTGCTGAATGACACAAGACTCTTGAAAAGATTAAAAAAGGGAAAAATTAGTGAAGAGGAGTTTGAGAAGAGACTAACAGGCAGCCAAAGTAGACTCAAAGCGGAAACTGTTGCTGACTTGGAGTCTGAAGGTTGACAGTTATTCTAACTACACTTTTACATTAAAATGCTGTCCATTTCAATAAAACTGTATTTTTATAACAAAATAATGATGCAGAGAACAGAATTCATCTAATTTCTTCATAAAGAGACCTGGCATCCATAAAGACATACAAACAAGCCTGCTGTTAAGGACAAAGCTAAAAAGATCGCTCTTGTATGGCGTGGCAGAAGCTGCAGATTTCCATTAGCAGCCTTCTGCATTTAAAATTTTTTTTTTTTTCAGGTACGTACCACAGATCAGTAAGTAACAGCATACCTCAGAATGAGTTTGAATACACCATAAGGTATTTTATTTTACAATATCAAAATACTCCACCCATCTTTAAAATAATTTATTTTAAGTTTTTAGAAACTGTAGTAACTTTAGAATTTTTTTAAGTAGTCCACCCACATGCAATGTTTTGCTTTAAAAACTCAAGAAGGCTGATAATTACATTAATCTTTATAGTATCATCTCCTTACCATGTCCATATAACTTGTATCATTTTCCAAGTTCTTACACCTGTGATAGTCGCTGAAGAAGATGATGCAGCCTGTACACTGAGTCCTCTTTGTTACAGATAGAGTTTAATAAGTTCATCACTGACAGCTGATGGAGTTAACACACCGAGGTCTGTAAACAGTAACGTAATTAGTGATGGTGATGTGTAGTCAATCCAGGGATGCTCTTCTGTTAGATTCTGACTTGTTTTCAGAGTATCTGCTTTGTACTAGAAGGAAATGGAGACCAATAGTTATTACACAACTGCAAGTTAAAACCTTTTGGGCAAGAGCAGTACTATAGTCTTGAGCAGATGTTTGTGGTAAAACTGAAGGAAGTCAGTTGCTTTAAAACAGGCATAGGCTGGTGCCACTTTGGTCTCGGCTGCCTTACGTTGTGTATAAAGTACAATTTGTAGTTCTGGAGTGAATTGATTTAACTGTTTCTTGCCCTCAGCTGCTCCTGTGCCCCAAAGGAACTACTTTAGGAACTAAATGTTAGTATTAAGACAAATTATGGCTGTTCGGCATGTGACTGTAACATGGAGCAACTCCATATTATGTAAAGTAAGCTACAGTAGAGAGATCCAGATACATGAAGACATGCTTAGATGAAAACTTTTCATAGACACCTTGTGCATCTTAGCTGGCCAAGAAGTAATTTGAATTTCTCTTACCTTAAACTTATCTGGGACGTCTTGCTGATTTAGAGGGAAAAGTCTTACAAACTTGAAACTTTCTGCTACCACATAAAATGGCTTATTCTGAGCTTTGGCACACACAGCAATTTGATTAGTGCCAATCTGTGGAGACAGATGGAAAACAACATGCAGATTCAGTGCTAACGTGACATAGTATCACACAGTTTCCAACAATAAATAGACCTTTACTGGATAACGTCCAAACAGAAAAGAAAGCCTTGAATTCTTCAAAGAAACCAAACGTTAAAAGTCTAGAGTTTACAGAATGGTATAATAAACTCACTACCTATTACCTTGTTAATAATGCCTCCGCTTTCAACTACACCTTCAGCACCAACTAACACCAGGTCCACTTTCTCCATAATGTAGCTGTTCAAAGGGGGAAAAAAAAAATCCACGTCTTACTGGGTAGTATGACAAATGACTCACTGAACAGAACAGAAATTAGTAATTCAAACAGACTTTCATTTTTCTGAACTAGTTTCATCTACCTATATAAATCCACGTGCTGTTACGCATCCTTGGAGTGAGCTTTCATCTGCTTCCCTGGCAGGAATATTAAGTAACTGTATCTTCTCCAGCCATAGCTGACCTCGGCAATTGTGCAAATGCTGGAAGAAGTTGGAATGTGACTAGGAATGATACTCAGTTACAGGCACATAGGTGCCTGTGATAAGATACTAACTACACACTGAAGTGTAACTTGGCCAAATACATAGGATACTCCTTATCTAATCCCCCTTTCTTTACATCCCTCTGATGTGTTTTGTTAATTGAAAATACAGATCTAAAAAGAAAAACATCAAGTAAGTGATTTGAATAGATTTAAAGCGTTAAACAGAACTTCTAGACTTGTCCATTCAAGCCGCTATCTTCCCTAGATAGAGGTGCCTTGGTAAGCAGACTGGTGTGTATTCTCTTGGAGGCAGTCTCTCAGGCATTTTGCACCTATGCAAGAATTGAGATTCGGATCCATTGTAGTTCGTTCTTTTCTCATGTTTTGGACTTGTACTAAGCAGTGGTAATTTAGCAAATAAATTAAGAAACCCTAAAATGATAGCACACATGCAAATTAGGAAACTAGTAGCCTTTTTGCGTAGCACCTCAGCTTTTTTTTTCAGATACCCCAAAGTTCTACACTTAGGTCTGGCTACTTTTTTCATTCTAATATGCAAACATCAAATACTTGCTTTGTAGCAGACATACTCTCCTAATCATGCACCTAGAGGTGTAACTTGTTTAGCTTGTTTGATGACTATGACTAAGTAACACCTCTGTAGTTTGAACAAGCTTCAAGGAAACTTAAATAAATATAACACGATCAAAATGAAATTGCGACAAACAATATTAAGCTTTAATGATCAGACTTACCCGACTGCAGCATCCAGAATCACAGTCACAGGAATGTTCAGCTTCCTCAGGGCTTTTGCCATTTTTTGCCTATTAAAAAAAGTTTGAAGCTTAAAAGACTCTTCTTTAAAGACAACGCTAGAAAAATATTTTCTGAAAGACAGAAGCCCATGACTGCCCATGTTCCCTTGCCTAAAGCTTTAGTCCATGGTGTACCCTCTAAGAGAAACTAAGTTCTTGTGTAGAAATGGAAACAAACAGATTACAACAAACCCAAGAAAAGTCAAGTCAGTTTGTTTTAGCAGTCAGGAATTACAGCTACAGAAAGATGAGTCAGTGGACTATTATTAAAATGACAGATTACCTAAACTGTTTCAGCTTTTCCATCAACAGGGTGTAAGAAACAAGAAATAAAGCATGGGATGCATTGCTAGAAGTTATTTCAGTGAAGCTGGAAAAGTGTACATACTTGACTGAACATCCTTGATTCTAGTGAAAGACTGGTTAGCAACACGTAGTAGCCGGTATGTGGGATTTATTACTTCATTTATACAACACTGTATGCTCTGACGAGGGAAAGCTTGTTCTCTTGCTATCAGTATACACTTTATTTGGTATCTTCGAAGAACATTGTTAGCTAAATGTTTTACTTTGCTATGCTTAATACTGATTATTTTAGCCTACTTTTGAAGCAGACAACTAGAAAACCAGTTGTCTGATATCTCCCAAGGAAAATGTAGGTTGCCTGACTGAAAGTTTGTAAACCTTTGAGTAAAACCTAGATAACGCTGTAATTAGAATATTTATTATGGGAAATTACTTGACAATATTGTGTTTTGGGTTTTTTTCACTTGTCCAGAATAATGTGATCCTAGTGATGGATACCATTTAAAATGCTGCAAACAAGCCTAGCAGCTTTTCTTAAGGTATGAGATTGGATGCTATCTGTAACATACCCTGTTAACCAAGATAAAACACAAATTAATGAGTACTTGCCCTGCTTGATCTGGCTGTGATTCAGTAACATAAACACTGAATCGCTTCTTTGACTCAACAGCTGCTTCTAACACTCTGAGGACCACTCTTGAGTAGGCATGTGTCAATATTCGCTGTCAAAAAAAAATCAGATGTTACTTTTTGCTGACCTTTGGGAAACCTTTACTTTTGTTAATGAGGTCATGGCTTTTACTTCACACAACTGTCCATCGACATTAAATAATAATGTATGTCACTTGTATTCTACAAATCATAGGATCACCACTCTGTGAGCTGGACTTTATGTCGCCAGCCCTGATGCGGCCAAGGGATGATGATCTAGTATTTTAAATAGAAACTCGAACCTGTGACTCCTCAGCATCTCTCAGAAGTAGACCACAAGTTAAAGTTGGATTGCATGGGAACTGAAATAGGGGGGAGGACATGAGTCATAATAAAATAAAGCGATGGGTGATATTACACCTATGTACTTGCAGAAGCCACCATCAGACAACACTGTTGTGGATGTTAAACTTCACATCCCTTTCCTTCTCTTTTTCCATTACTGCAAGCAGCAGAGCAACAGAACAAGAGTGACCCTGTCTTGGCCTACTTACAGCACCATCTCTGATGAAAGGATGACACAGCTTGGCGATTTTGTTCCTTGAGAGAGAGACTTTCCTCAGGAAGATCTCCCCGCGCTCGATCATGATTTCTTTGCACTTGGAGTAGTCCTGGAAAACACAGCAACATCTGCTGTTAGGCTGCAGGGTCTCCCCAGCAGGCACCACGCTCAGCGGGGAGCAGCCGCCCTTACCGAGTACTCCAGGGAGGTGAGGCTGATGAAGCGCAGGAAGAGCTCCCCGCCGGAGGAGACGGCCACTGAGGAGTCCACCCGAGACAGGGTGTCGATGGCCGCCAGCAGGCTGCTCCTCAGGCCCTGGATGGTCTCTCCTGCCGGGAGGCAAAGCTGCGCGGTCAGGGCAGGGCTGGGCCTCACCGACACGGACCTCGCCGCGGGGAGATCCACGGCAGAGGGGGGACCCCGTCCCGCCCGGGGCTGAGGGGAGACCAAGCCCACCTCGGTC